TCCAATGTGAAGTCATGACTTCACAAGCATGGCAACGGGATAAGGTGGGGATGGGTTTTGCGTCCTTGGCCCCTGCCCTCGATCCCCATTAGAATTAAAAATTAAGTCCCCTTCCTTGTTAGATTTCGGGTCTCCCCATCTCCGATCTACATTATTTATAAAAAAGTAATTATAGTTATAATAAATTAATTTTAATAAATTTTATGTATTTTTTATACCAAAATAAATATTTATAATTTTAAAATTTATAATAATAATTATTAATTAGATATATATACTCTAATTTATTATATTTATTTTAAACTATATATGTAAAAATAATATTTTATTATTTTTTCTTTATACGGATATAGAATATTATTATTATTATTGTTATTATTATTATTATTATTATTATTATTATTATTATTATTATTATTATTATTATTATTATGTATTCAAACATTTTATTATATATATAATTTAATTTTTTTAAGTTTTTATTTAAAAATGTGAAATATATAGTTTATAAAAATTATTTAATAAGATAAATCTTATGTAATTAATTCAAAGTAATACAATTTTTAATTATTAATTTTTTTAATCCTTTAAAATATAATTATTTTATTAAGATAAAAATTTGATATATGATAAATAAAAATAATATGATCCAAAAAATATGACATAATAAAACCTAATAAAAAAAATTATAAATAAAATAATATTAGTTACTACTAAGATTTATGTAGAATATTTAGAAAAAGATAAAGAAGAAGAAAAATTAGTTTTATGTTCGTCAAATTGGTTAAAAAAAAATAAATTGATTGGAGAGATTAAAGAAATATGAATAAGTGAAAGGTAAGAGAAAGAGAATAATATAATGAACTAATTGATATAAAAGATTAAAAAAGACAAAAGAATGAAAAATTGGGTAGAAGAAAAGTAAAAGTGGTGAAATATAAAAATATGCTTATATATAATGGTGAAAGAAAAGGAAATACTTTTAAAATATTAATATTTTAAAATTTAAATTTAAATATAAATATAAAGTTGGGGCGAGGTGGGATGGGAATTGCATTATCCATCCCCACCCCCAGTCAACTTGATTTTTTCCTGTCAAACTCGAGGCAGGAATTGATCGGTCCCGAATAGGTTTAATTTTCATCACTAGTATTTCATTTAGAATCTTCATTAATAATTTTTTGTAACTTTCAGAATTCATTAGAATGATACCATTGTTGAAGTACTAGTCAATTGGTCAATAAGTGTATACCCGCTTTATCAAATGAACTTGAGAAACTTTGTAGCTTCATCATTCAATACTTCCTTTGTCTATTCTTTCCTATGAGAAACTTTATCGTTGGTGAACTTATTTCCTCGTTCAGACTCTCTCCTCAACTTTTTTCTCTTCTGTGGATGAGTTCCTTGGACAAAGAAAAAGGAAGAAACAGTTTCCTTTATGGTGTTTTTTTTTTAATTAATTTTGGTGTATTTTGAACTTTTCTATAAATATTATTATTTATTTTATAGAAAAAAGTGAGGTGTTTACACTTCTGATCATAACATTCTCAGTATATATCCTTTTTTTAATATTTTTTATGAAAAAATTTCTTATTTTTAGGGTTTTAATTTAGATATATGGAACGTAAATTTACAGTTCAAAGTTATTTTTTATGAAAAATTTAGACTTCTGAGAAATTTTGCTTGAGCGAAAATTTTTCGCTTGAGTGAAAATACATCAAAGACAAGTCTCATTTTACTTGGAGTTTTTTGCTTGAACGAAAATACACACGAGATAAGCCTTATTTCACTGGGAGTTTTTCATTTGAGGAAAATAATTTTACTTGAGCAAAAAATACACCCAAGAGAAACTCTTGACTTTGCTGCACATTTCACTTAAGCAACAAGTTGTCGCTTAAACAAAATATGCAAATAACATATTTGAGAAAATATACCTTAAACTAGTTTCGAGGCATTAAGAACTATCATTTAAGACTTTATTACATTATTTTCTTATAGAACATATTATACCTAGTCCAAATATTGTTATCCTACCCTAATATTCCATACACATCTTTCCCACATAACAAATATAATTTAACCCATTGCAATCACATACAAATACCAATAATATCAATTCACACTCAACTCCCTGCAAATTAGACAATGTGACCAAGTCATCATCACATTTTAGATCATCTATCTTAGGGTGCCAAGAAATCTATTACTTGCTTCCATTAACTCAATTTCTCAACCTTTGATTCGAAAAATTCCAAAAGCATTTCATCTCATAAGAAGTCAAATTTTATTTGCAAAAAACTCTAATTAACAAATTAAATATACCATAATACTCTTAAGCTGGTTAAAATTCATCTTGTGTGACAAAATCCACATGCATGTACCTTAGGTCCCACATGCAAGCTTCTCAACTTTACATGAATGCTCTAAAATGGGAAAGAGAAACTTACTCTATTTGAAGTTTTAATCAAGTTTTCATATTGTCTGACAAAATCCACATGCATAGATTATGCATATATTAATCTATTTCTTTTATTTAACAAATTTTATAGTATGAAATGTGTTTTAAAATGAATATACAAAAAATTTAAAACTTTAAGTAAGGATAAATTTTAAAATTATTATCTTGAAACATTTTTAAGCTTTAGTGGATATTTTGATAATGATGATTTTGACTTTTAGGAATGATAAATATTTTGAAATTATTAGAAAAATTACACCAACTAGAAATATATATTAAAATATTTTATTTTTTAATAACATTAAAATTTTAATATATTTATTACTTAAATATGTATTAATAATGTAATGTTGTAATTATGAAAATAGGTTTTTAAAATTAAAATTACTTGAATCACATCTTAAATACTTAATGGTACAATATAGATAAATTAAATAGATTATTTATCTTATTTATTGAAACGGTAGTGTTATAATTATCTTATCTAAGGAAAGAATAAATAAAATCATTCGATCATTTTAAAGTATTTTATTAGATATTAATAAATAGAAAATTTTATAATTTAATTTTTATTTTTTTATCTTTTATTATAAATTGTTGTAATACAATTAAAAATCTCATGCATGATATATATATATATATATATATATATATATATATATATATATATATATATATATATATTTAATACAATTAAAAAAATATATTTAAAATATATAAATCACATTAATAACATTAAAACAGACTCTCTTTTTTCTATGCACAGCATAACAACTATATAATGTATGTAACAAACACATTCTTGGGATTTCCTTTAATAAATATAGAACTTTCATAACTTGCAATTCAAAAATTTGTTTATATAATATTAATATAATAATTTACATTATTGAACTCTTGAGATCTAGACAAACTTTGTTTAAAGCTTTCATTCAATTAAACTCAATGAACTTTTTTAATTTATTTTATTTTATTTTTTAAAGATAAATTATTTTATACGCAAAATCAAGTCAAAATCATTTTAAATATGTGAAAAAAAAACTTAATTTAAAATTAGTTAAAAATCCCACCTTATAGTGTGATATACTAGTCAGTTATTAACAATTCTTTTTTTTTTTACATATTCTAGACCCGATCAAATATTATATTATTACTTTATTATTATTATTATTATTATTATCTAAAGTGAAACATGTTTCTAGTTTTTTTAAAATATATAAATTTGTATTTTAATTACTATAAAACAATTATTTCATGTTTATAAATTTTAAAATAACTGATTTAGTTCTTAATAATAACATATATTTAATAAGTTTTATTTTTTTTAAATATTTGTATTGACATTATATTATAACACTAAATATTATTTATCTTTTCATCTAATACAATAATTTTCAATTTTAAAAGAACTAAAAAGAACTAATTGTAAAATTGAAAATTAAATAACACTAATCTTACAACTGTATATATACATTACATATATCACATTTGTAAAATATTTATGTTTTCATTTTAGTTTTTAATAATAATCGTTATATATTTTTAGTAGGATTATTTTTTTAAAAACAAAATCTTAAGTTTTTTATTTCTTTTCATGTATTAGTTTTTCAAACTTAATTTTTATATGTTTTGAAACTTATCTAAAATTATAATTAAAAACCTTATAATGAAAACAAATTGTGTATTAAAATCTAAAAATATAACATACATGCGAAATTCTTTATTTATTACAAGCTCTAATTATTAAATGATTTCTATATTATAAAAATTTACTAATATAAATTAAATATTTATGTTACTCAAACTAAGTTATTTATAACCAGTACCTGTTTAAGAAGATATATATCCATGGTTTGTATGCAGGATGCAGCCTGCAATACAATGATTAATACGTTTTTCCTTCCATCTAATTCTCTCTTCTCTTCCCCTTCATAAAATACAAATAGAAACCACCTGCACTTTCACTTGGAAGCATCAGATTTGTGACAATATTATTAATCAATTACAACATTCAGTGATCCAGAATCACAACTCAGAATCTTCAGATTCACCTTCTCTCCAGAACTCCTTCCGCTTGACTGAGTTTGCAGTGTTATGTTATATTAATTCATTAGAAATATAAATACAAGAGTTAAAACACATTTAAGTTTCCTGCCTATCACTTTTAAACCATATTTTGTTGAATGCAGAAATATGCAGCAGGTAGAATGGAGCAGTCTGCCTCTGTTACTGTTACCATAAAATAGAATGAAGCAGAAACCATCATAAATAATATTATATATTCCTTTCCTCTGCCTCCCTGGGCTCGCCATTGCTTTGGCTCAGCGCGTCAGTTGCCAAGGGACGATATATTCATACAATTTATATGAACCACATCAACCTCACTGGAATTTCTGGTCAAAAGTCAAAATTAATTAATTTAATCCGTTTAAATTTATCAGTAAAGTTAGAACACATACGAAAACATCAAAAATTCTAAACATATGGTGGGTGTTATCACTACTAAAATTAGAGAATGGTTGACTCTTACAGCAAATGGAACTCAATCTTTACGATATCTTGCCCAGAAGCCTTTCTTCCTTGCAGAATCATTCTCAGACAGGGATCGGCTCCACTTGGACCCAAGTGAAAAGTGCCGCCTCAAGAATGGCTTTCCAAATGAACTCCTCGCACTGGAGCTAGGCTCCATTTTTGAAACTTTTCCTCCCAAATCAATATCTTTTTGGTGATCAAAAACGTCAAAACCACCATCAAGGTAGCTATCAACTACACGGTTTCTGGATACCTTGTGGTTCTTGGCCTTTATCTCTGATTCAGCACGAAGAACTTTTCTGGACAACTTTGAAAAGTGCTTCTCTCCAACCATACAAATTGGACAAGCTGGATCATACCTATCTGCCTCTGGTGTCATAGCCTCTAAACATTCTGCATGATATGCATGACCACACACCAGAACAGCAACAACTGAGAGGTCATTGCTGGGAAGAAACTTCTGGTTGCTCCATGTTGATCTTTCAGTCAAAAGCTTTGAGCATGCCCCACAAGATTGTAGTTCCATGGAGGGAGAATACGAGAACCGGCCACTGGATCCACTTATTTTGTGTCTACCAGAGCTGAAACACTCACTATCAAAAGACCACCTTTCCCTTTGGGATGATGCCACCATCTCAGAGAAGGTGCGCATTGACCAGCCATCAGATGATCCACACAGCGATCCAGCAGCCATATCATTGCTGCAAGTAGAGAGTACAAATGATGGCCTTCCCTCAGAAATTGAGTTGTCTGGCGATTTCAGACCCATTATTCGACTATCAGAAATCTGTCTCAACAGAGGGTGTGCTGGAGACCGATGCGCCCATCTTGTTGGGGTAGAGTTGGGAAGATGGTGATAATTGTGATTAGGCAAAGGATCTGCTGTAGGCGTTGAGAAGACTGAAGGTATTGAAAAAGAAAGATTTGGTATTGAAGATTCCACTGGGTTCTTCACCTAAAGGGAAACACAGATTAAGAGTGAGCCAGTACTACAGTAGAAAGCCTAAAAATCAGATTATGCACCACAAAGCTCATGGTTCCAATTCAGTTGCTCAAAACTAACCACTGTAGAAAAATTGCTTGACATGGACAGATCTGCAACAAGCACATGGAGGGAGAACAAAGAGAAATCAATGCCAAACAAAGAAACAGCAACCCAATGAACCAAAGTGCATAAAATAGAGCATCAGGAACAGAATGTCAATAACAAATCTGGGACCATTCAACACAACAAACTTTACACTAGATGGGGAAAACAGCAAAAGATAAGGTGGTGAACAAGGTCATACACGATATAAAATCCCTTGAATATAAGAAGGCAACAGCAAGGTTTTTCTTTTTCAAAAGATATAAATAAAATCCCACCTATTGTCTCAGAAACTATTGATTTTATATTTACTATTATTTGCGTTGCATTGGCAAGCCCGTTTGTAATCATTCCCATAGCATATGAGTAAACAGTGTAGGCTTTTCATTTTTGGGCAAGCATACACAAAGGACTTCAATATCTAGGTTGCCGACCAGTAGAGCAGCATTTCTCATGGGATAATTGCTCCACCACCACACAAAAATTTATAAAAGTATTGTATTTCTGTCGTTTTATAGATGTTGCATCCTATTTTACGTAACCAAAAATAAGAATACCTTCAAAAGATGGGGGTGGAGGAGGCGTAAATGTTTAATTAAGATTAAACCATCAAACATTCTGCTTATGGTAAAAGGACAAAGTAATACTAGAGTTGAGGGTTTAGCATTTACCAGAAGAGGGGGTCATCAGATTTGCAACCAATTCCTCATCAACAGGGGACTTCAGAGAAATAGGAGTCACAGAATTTTCCATGATGCTTCCCCCATCAGACAAATTACCTCTTTCAGAACTTAATGAACCTTTTAACTCCATGCTGACATTTCTACTGTCCACATGAGATGTGTGATAGGAAGGATTCTCAACTTCACCAGCAACACGCCCCCGACTATCCCATTGAAAGCTCCACGAAGGTGAAAACACAACATCTCTACGCAAGCTTTCACTTCCAGTTCTGTTAGGAAGATTAGGATCCTTTGCTGCAACACAACAAGCTGATCCCATGATAGCTGCAGAAAAACGTAGCAGTCAATCTAAATTATGGACACAAACACTAATTACTCTATACTGCACAGACAAATTCGAGACTTGCTGATTTTTTTTTTTTTTTTTTGACAAAAAGAAATCCAATAGTATACCTGAAATTTACAATAGAAAACTCAAAAGCCACCTCAATTTCCAGCAAGAAACCCTAACCTACTTCATCCTGAAAAATAAACAAAACTGAGATTTCAAGGTAACATAAAACCTTCCAGACACCAAAAGCTCCAGAAAAGGAACCACGCACTAAACTTAAGATTTCTAATGCTATAACCTAGCAAATCTAATTCAGCGAAAATTCCATCATAGAAATGTTTTTCAACAGTAAACACAAGGCTTCCAAACATTAACTTCAAAGAAAAAGGAAGAACAGTTAAATCTATTCTATAAGTCTGACATACCATTTTAATAATCCTCTAAGTTCAATAAAACCAGTTTGAGTAAAAGATTTTCATTTAAACAACACGAAGCACCAATTACGATCCGCAGACACAAACAACGCCATCATTCACAGCTCAAAACACAAATACAGAGCTAATACTGATAAATAATAACCTAATCTGATTCATTTTTTCTCACAACTTCCAAAATCCATGAACTCGTCAAAACAATTAATTGTGTCATCCTTACATTTTTTTTTCCCGAATCTCAAAAGAATTTCTAGGGTTTAGAAACGTTCCAAATACTAGTAGCTTGATGCATACGATTAATTATTAAAATTATTAACGCAGAATAGAAATGGAATAAGAAGAAGAGGAAGAAGAAGAAGAAACATGCGCGAATCTTACTCGAAAGCTAAAAACTGAGAGAAAAGAGGGAAAATAATTGGGCACTGGTCATGGTCTGACATATAGACGGAAAGGGACTTCGTCGCTCGCGTCCGTTTCACAGTGAAAGCGTGGCGCGGCGTCGCGGAAGCACAATCGCTATGACAGCGTTAGGGTAGAGGTTGCTGGAAACGGAAACGTTGACACCTCTGTTTCTCTGTAATCTGTGTGACTCACTGCATCTCCTCCTTTTATCTTTCTTCTGCAAACTTCGGTTTCTATCTTTTCCTTTTCCTCTTTCCACCTCGCCCCACTGCGTTTCTTCCTCTTTAATAATTATTTATTTTTTTCATACCAAAATTAAATATTCAACGTTGAATACTATAATAACTTGTAGTAATAAACCGTGGATGAGAATTTGATGCTTTAGTTTCCACCACGTGGACCGCACTACAATCTCACATGCAATTCACCCAATTTCATTTCAATTGTCTTTGCTCATATTAATTACGTTAATAATAATAATAATAATAATAATAATAATAATAATAATGGTTCATTTTAACATATGGATTGCTATTAAAAAATTAATTAATATAATTTTGGTGAAAAAAAAAAACTTAGGTGATTTATTTATTTTATTGTGAAATTATGACCGAGGAAACCATTGACGAGGATATTTCTATGATTGCAACTGTGGTCAATTTGCGCGATACTTTGACCAAGACGACGACCGTTTGATGCGTTTTGATATTTTGTGTGGAAAGAAAGGGTTTGAATTATGGGCCACGCATGCCAATGAAGGTGACTTGACTTTGCGTTAACATTAAATCGCCAACTCCAATTTGGTGACTCCTCCACCTTGTGTTCTTTTTACAAGTCAATGAACTCCCATTACTCAAGTTGCAATTTTGCACTTACTATAACAAACCTTTGACTCTTTTATTTTATTTTCAATTTTCACTTCCTAGGACTAAAAAGTAAAACAAAATATATTAAAAATTTTAATATTTAATGTTGTTGTTTATTATAAAGTCAATAGGTTGGCTAAACTTGCAATTTGTACCAACTATTGTCTAAATTATTATAAAAAGTAAACAATATTGAAAAGTACAATATTCTATATTTTTAAAGTCTTTTAATTAATATTGTTAATGCATGAAAATAAATTTTAATAAAATATTTTATTAAATATCAAAAACACATTAATAATATTTGCTTTGTTCTCGGAGGTTATATATATTATTTGTTGAATATTCAAAGGATTTGATGTTGAACTTGATGGACATGAAGCTTGTTAATTTTGATGATGATTCTAGAACAA